TTTGCACCAAAGAACCCTAACCCACCAAATCCCTTCAGCAAGCTGTGGAATTTGCCCACTCCCTGTGGTCCCATTAAAAAGGGTCTCTAGCTGCCCCCAGGTACAGACGCCATCCTTACCCTGCTAGGAAGGTCAACATCCCTTTCGATAAACCTGACCTAAACTTCTCCCTTCCGGATCTCCTCTCTGGGTGCCACTGCTCCCACCTTTCAACCCTCAGTGACCTTATTTAAAAAATGGGGGTAACGGACCTTTCCCTCTAAGAGTTGCAAGGATTAAATGAGATAATACATAAAAAGACCTTAGCACGGTCCCTGGGCCCAGCAAGCTCTTGTAATGGCAGCTGTTATTTTGTGATTCATCCTAGTTCCCAGAGCTTACCACACTGCTTCGTACAAAGTAGGCATGTCAGGGTTCCAGCAGAAAACATGTGGCACAGTCCTATGAGAATAATTCCAGGAACTCAATGAGTGACTCTTAACAAAGGTAAGGGCGAGCTATGGGAAGACCATCAGGGAAATATCTGGGGGGGCTGGTAAGGACTTATTTCACTCCCCGTCCTGGAGTGGGAAGAAGAGGGAATTGTTATCTCTAAGTAGAGAGCTACTTTCAGTGGGGCTGTGAAAAATCTGTAAACATTCCACCAGAAAAAAGCAGGGAATGAATATCCAGAACTCACTCTCCTCCTTCCCCTCCTCTAGTCTGTAGCTGATGCTCCTGTTAATCTAGCCCAATTGGAAGCAGAAGGCAAGGGAGCATACTGACACAGCCCACAGGTAAGCCTCTGCAGCCTTGGAATGGGTGGGTGGGGGGGTGGAGAGGCAAGGAAAAGGAACTGGAGGGCCAATGGAAGAGCCCCAACACAGTGAGTCTTCATAAATATGTATGAAACAAAAGAACTAACCAAGGAGCTTCACACCCCGCAAAACTGAATTCTTACTATAATGAAAATGCTGACACACACCAAACTTCAGGAATATAACCCATATTGCTATGGTAAGAACTATAATAGAAACCAATTACTGTGTTTCACCAGATCCCATTTAAAATAGTTTATTACAGACTGAGTCATTTAAGTTTTCGAAGGAGTCACAAACTGTATTGTGGGTTCTTTTTTTTTTCCTCCAGGCCAAATTCAATTCTACCTCAATGACAAATCTTGGAGGCTATTTACATAAGGGACGTTGAAATAGGGAGAACCTACCTGAATAAATCATAACCAAAGGCTCCTTATTACAAAATGGAACGGGGGGGGGGAGGGTGTCGAGGTCCCCAGAGCAGGGTGAGATTAATGATGCAGATGATCTCAGGAAGTCAGGGAGACTTCTGAGCCATGAGAGCAGGGGGGGAATGATTGCTTTGACCTCAGTCTGGAGAGCCTGGAGAACTCCTAAGGGACATCTCCCACCTCCCATTCCTCCCACACCTTTACCCACTCCCAGGAATCCTACCGATTGTTAATTTCCAAGGCTTAAACGCTGTGGGCCCTGTATCACCCACGCATCTTTCCTCTGTTCAGCCCCTGCCTCCCTTGGGCATAAATGTTTGAACATTTGAGAATTTTCTTGGTATCTATCAAAGAACTGGGGGCTTACATGGCAGAATCATCACACCAAACTCTGCTGCCGAGATGGTGTCGGGCCTTGCTCAAAACCTTCCAAGAAAAGGAGTGAACCGCCAATACTTGCAACACCCGGGATGGCTCTAAGCGTCCCACTGAGCCGTTAACGGGGTATATACTGTGGGCACGTACTATGTGAGTCCATTCATAGGAAACTCCAGAAAAGGCCAACCGTTCGTGAGAGCAATCAGAGTAGTGACTGCTGGAGCTGAGGATGAGAGGCAAAGGTTGGGGGACTGTCTGGCTGGAAAAGCATGAAGGGCACCCTCGAGGGTGATGGAAATGTTTTACTGTTTGAATGAGATGTTGATTATACAGGATACACACATGTGTCAAAGCTCCAAAGAACTGTACACTTAAAATGGGTAATTTTATTTTGTGTAAATTATACCATAATAGAGTTAATTAAAAACAAATCAAAACAAAACAAACGTTGGCTCCAATCCTCAGACTAAAAGACTTTACAAGGGTCTACAAGGCTGTAGCAAAGCCTGTGCGCCTTCACCTCTCCTGCCTCCTTCTCTCCTCACCTCTCTGTTCTTCATGCTCCAGCCGCGTGGGTCTCCGGGCTGTTCAAAGCCAGCCAGGCCCGCTCCCACTTCTGGGTCTTCACACTGCCTCTTCTCTCGGACCTCCTCCTGGCTCAGCCCCTCAAAGTCCTCCAAGCCTTGATCAAATGTCACCTTCTCAGTGAAGGCTTCCTGGTTTCCCTCCTTCCTGCCTTCTCACCATGAGAGCACACACACATATCCACATGCACTCACATGCACACACACACACACACACACACACACACTCCGTTCTCCAGAAAGAAGCGCTTACGTGGACTGCACACTACTTCTTGGGCATCTCTGCCTTTGCACTGACTCGCTTTCCCATTGCACCACCCGTCTGCACAGAGAGGTAAAGGAACTTGCTCATAGTCACACAGCTATCTTTAAGTGGGATTCAAAGTCAGGCCATCCCTTTCAGAGCCCGTATACTCAGCCTCTGCATCAAGCTGGCATGTACACGCAAACATGAAGGCAGGCAGCAGAACAGTCCCGGCTGAGTTCCATTCTGTTCCTGTCCTGCCCCTCCTTTCTCCCCCCAGGATCCTCTTTAATTTTGCTCCCTCTTAGAATCATAATTAAAGGAGAGAAACACAAAGAGAGATTCTCCCCTTCAAACCTTTCTGTCCACATTAACTTCACTACGGGGGGCCTGGGGAATTCCATGTTCGCCCAGGAAATTGCTATTGCAGTACAACATAAAATGTATTTAAGCAATTACACTCAGTTTTTTTTTTCTTTTTGGTAAATTGACTTCCGTTAAATGGGGCTTCATTAATGGAATCTGGCTTGGGGAGAATAAAGAAAAAAAAATCACTCCCTTTAATGCATGTAGTTGGTTATAGAAAAAGTGGCTTTGAGTTCCTCTGCAGAAAGCTCTGAGCCCTTCTCTTGGCAATAGGAGAGCTCAGAGCAGGGCTGGTAGACAGTATTGCTCCCTAAGAAGCTTCTTGTGTGCTGATGATGTTGAGGAGCTGGGTGACATCCCGTCAGATGATAACAAGGACTGCGAGGATTTGCTCCTCCTAGGGGGAGGAGCATTAGGAGATGTTGGTTGAAATCCCAGCATCCCTGAAAACTGACATCTTCAGGACAACGTTCATTCACACACTCACTGAGCATATATTGTGTACAAGGCTCCATGCTTGACGATGAAGACCACTCCCCCTGCAGTTCCCTAGATAGGGGGAGTCCCTGCCAAGCCCATCCTCTCTAAGATTCAGCTGCAATGTCTCCTTCTCTGTGCAGCCCTCACTCCTCCTCCATTAATAGCGTCTGGCTTCTGTGTTCCTAGAGCACCTCCTGTGGGAATTATCTTGTGACTAAGTTCTGTGGACAGCCTGGGTCCGATTCAGGGCTGAAGCACTTCTGCATCCCAGGACCAGGCATAAACCGTTCCTCCACCTCCAAGGCTGGCCTAGAAGCATGAAATACAGGAGGTGTTCACCTTATCCCCATTCCCAAGTCCTCTTTCCTTCCCATCGGCCGTGTGCCTCCCAGAAGGATGGAGAGGACGCCTTTATGCAAACAGGGAAGCCCTTCTGGAAAGGTAATGGTGGCCAAATGGCCCAAAGGCCCTTGTTGGAGGCTAATTCCGGCTCCCCTGCCAACCTAAGCTACCTTTCATCCCTGAATCCAGCCTTTATTGACTCAGCCTTCACACCCAACCTTATCACAGATGCCTTCCATAATCAATTTTCCTTTAGCTAAGATAAATCCTTTCCCCGGACA